GGAGACATATTTGTTTATTTCATTTGTGGTTTTAATTTCCTTTTCCAATTTCTTTTTTTTCATTTCTTAAAAGCATTTTTCACAGAGACACATTCAGGTTATGATGGCTCTTAAAATGAATTGATCTCATGACATACCTTTTCCTCAGTAGAATGCTTGACTTGTCATAACAGGAAAGGCATGGGGGCGGGTGGTGATAACACTGATAAGGACTCTCTTCCATTCAAGATTCTGAGTAAGCCAAGTCAGCCAGCATACACAACACCAGGACCCTGGAACACAGAGCAATGAATAATTTTCCTAAATTCACCAGCACTTTATTAAGTTGTTATATTTCTTTTTGTTTCTTTATTAAGTTAATTTAGAAAAATAACTTAATGGAGCTTTTTTTTTTTATTTATTAAAGTGATGACCAAGCAGCCTGCAGCAGATCTGTTTAGCTTCTCAATCAACACATGAGTAATTAAATCTATAGATAGCCTATAAAATAGAGCCTTGCATTTCAGCCCGACCACAATGGGGCCCAACCTATTTACATCTCTTGGGTTGGGCTCTGGGCCAATTTTCATGTCATAGCTCACACATGGGCCTTTATGTGTTTTAGATATCCATCTATTAAAGTAAACCAGTTGTGCCATAATCCAGGATAAGAATGGGCCAAATTTTGAATGTTAAAACACATGTCAAACTACAAATGGCAACACATCACTGGACATGCAACAAGAAAAAAAAACATGATTACAGTTTTGCCTGTCACTTTATATATGTTTCAGGGTTCGGGGGTGTGCGAGAGCAGCCACATTTCACCTGTGTCCATTAAGCTTGAACACCAGGGCTGCTGGAGCACCAGAGCCTACCGTCCCAGGTTCTGTGCCTTGACGTGTCTAGAGGGACGCTGCTGCAGCCCATCCCACACAAGGACTGTGCGGATGGTTTTCCGCTGCCCTCAAGGCAGGCTAACCCAGCAGCAGGTGATGATGATCGAGTCTTGCTCCTGCAGCATCTCCACCTGCCGGCAGTCCCCAGCCACAGCTGACCAAAGTTTCCTGTCCTGGCTGTGAGGTGCTTATGCATCCAGATACAAGAAGATGGGCAGGTCCCGTCATGAGGAAACTACAGGATGAAAATGATCAAACATGATAATGTGGCTGTGCAGGAAGTGAAGCCAGTGTTTCATAATTTTGGAAAGATTACAATCAGGATGTGAAACTTGCCATTTGACACGAGCTGTTGAGAATATGTACAGAGTAATGTAAATGTGCACTCAGATTTGAAAGTATGTACTAAGATTTATGCAGTAATCTGTATCCAGATTTAAAAACAAAAAGGTAACCTCATTCACATTTTACCTCATATTATTTAATTTCCATGCTCCTACAAATTCTTATATCACCATATTTTTCCGATTTGAATCCTGTCCACTCTTTGGCAAAGATTTGTACTGAGATTAAATACACTGAACAAAATTATAAACGCAACACTTTTGTTTTTGCCCCCATTCATCATGAGCTGAACTCAAAGATCTGAGACTTTCTCTACGTACACAAAAGGCCTTTTTCTCTTCTCTTCTTGAGGAAGCTTAAGAAGGCCAAATTCCCGTGCCAAGTTCTTGTCAGCTTTTACAGAGGAGTAACAGAAAGCATCCTGACTGGAAACATCACTAACATGGGATGTGCACGGCCCAGGACCAGAGGGCTCTGCAGCGGGTGATTCAAACTGCTCAGAAGATCATTGGTACCCATCTCCTGAGCAGTGATATCAGTGAGGTGCCTGCAGAGCCCAAAGGATACTAAAGGACAGTACCCACCCAGCCACAGCCTGTTCACCCTGCTGCCTTCTGGGAAGAGATATAGAAGTTTCTGCTGCTGCACCACCAGACTGCAGAGCAGCTTTCTCCCCCAAGCTATCAGACTCTTAAACTCTAATTTCATCCTCAGCACTGCTCCACTAAATATAGTTTATTTCTGTTTTATAATTCCTTTATATTAATGTATAACGTCTGCTACGTAGCAGTTTCACTCTATAACCTGTTGCATTCTGACAAATAAATCTACCATGTACCTTGAAAACTATCCACACTCACATATTTGGGATTACAAATGTCATCCAATAGTTTTGTTTGCAAATCAATAATGTGGGTGGGACTTACAAAAGACGCGTCTCTATTGAACAGTCTTGATCAAAATGACAGATTGATGACATCCTCTGTTATTAAACGTGAGAGAGAGAGATTTGAAGTCTGTGGGGAAGAGACGGAGCAAAAACATTTTATTTTAAAAATCATTCAAAAGCAAAAATCTTTCTATTGAAACATGAACTCATGTCACATGTATTTATCAAACATGCAAGAAAGCTGTGTTGGAACTGGTGCATAAACTGCGTTTGGCAGTAAAGTGAGCCATTTTTTGTGAAAACTAGTGCTGGACAGAACATTCAAATATTCGAATATTCAATCGTTAGGTACGCAATCAATTTTAAAGTTGAAATTTGAATATTGAGAGTTTTTTTCCCCACACGCCTGACCTGAGCTCCCAGCAGTGAGCGTAACGCTCCAGTTCACATCAAATTGAAAAAAAGAATGAAGACCTCAGTCCTGCACTTGGGTCCAGTAGTTGTTACAACGCTGAAAACAAAGTATAGGTAATATTAACTTGCTTTCTTAGTTAGTCTATGCTATGATAATCAAGACACTGAGCTCTCTCTCTCTCTCTCTCTCTCTCACCAACGCCCGCCCAAGACATACACACTCATGATCGCTGTTATCTCTCCCCATCCCATTCTCCCTCACTCGGTTCATTGACAGGACTTCTTGGGTATTTATCATTCTGCTTTTCTGCTTCTGTCTATTGAATACACAGCTATAGCTCATGAAATGACAGCCTGCTTATCAGCAGATGCCTAAACATTCGGCTTAGCGCGACTGTTGAGCGGATCATTCATAGGTCCCACCCATGACATTTCTGCTCATTTTGGATTCACAAAATGTTGGGATTTGCAAACAAAACTTTGGATGAAATTTTCTGTGTGGATAGTTTTGTTCAAACCTATTTTTAGATTACATAATAAAGACACAAAAACAACTCGTACAGTTTGGCTGAAGGGCACAGAAACAGAAATGATCTCAACTTTCACCTCTACAGGCCACTTTAGTGTCATCAACTCAGTGTTTTGGTCTTCCTTATTTGGTTCAGTCTCATTGTGTCAGGGTTTGCAGTGTGTGTGAACTGGTTGAGGATCCAAATGCAGACACAGAAGCAGAGCAGGAACAGCTCTTGAGATTTATTAACAAAAAGCATACACACTTACTAAGAGTGGCAGAGTTCAAAATTGCATACACACTTACTAAGAGTGGCAGAGTTCAAAATAGTTCAAAATAGTTCTAAATAGTCAAAAAAACAAGTAATCCCAACAGAGAATCCAAAAATGCAAAGCAAAGTCCAAACACAGGGAGTCAAAAAACACAACCTATATCAAAGACAAAAATCCAAATATCCACACGAACAGAGAACAAGCAAGAGACGACAACAATGATCCAGCAAGGACAAAGCAGAACAAACGGCAATACATACAAGGATAATTAGCAGGGAATGAATACTCAGGTGACACACATGAGGTGTAATAAAGACAGGACAGGAAACAAGCTGGATACAAACAGATGCAGACAACTTCAGACTAAGACAGGAAATAGAGCAAGACTCTGAGACACGGAAAAAACTGACAGATCACTCACAGACAAAACTGTGAACAAACTCAGGACAAACACCTGAAGAGAGGGTTATCACGGACAAAACAGACCAGCGACAAACACCCCACACAGACCATATCAAAATAAGACAAGAGAACAGACTAAACAGACCGACTCCAATCATAACAGGGAACAGACTGAAACAATGATCAAGACATAGAAACACCGAGCAGACAAGACCAAAATAATACAGATGCAGACAGACTAGACCAGAATCGTGACACATTGCTCTCATAACCTTGTGTTCTGATAAACCTGCTCACCACCAATAGCAGACAGACACAGTTAATGATTAGCTGGTGAATATAATGGAGTATTTAGCAGCTAAAGACCCAGATATTTTTGGAGACCAAAACATAGAGATAAATATAATATACAATATAATTTGTACAAATATACAAACAAATTGCTGAACTTACATTCATCAGGTCAGCTGACACAAAACTCCTAATGAATGCATGAACTGAAAGTAAATTACATGTTTCATTTTCTGATACAGCGTACAGATGCGCTTACTAAATCACACGTAGTTACAGGAGAAATGTATGTATTGTAAGTTTTGATTTCATGATAGCAAGGAGCATGGTAGAAGAGCATTCATGTAAGCATTTTTTTTTTTTAAAGATACAAATTCACATATGTTGGTTCACTATTTTAAATCAAGGTCTCAGTATTCATTTCAAATGTTAGGATACATTTAAAATTTTTGATTTGATATATATATATATACTGCAGTAAGAATAGAATTGTTGTTGTTGGTTTAATTAAGAACACATTGGTGACTGATAAATGTTTGATAAAAAAAACAACATTATTTAGTTTTTCATTCATGCTTGAATGAATACCTTAGTGGAATGGCATTTGGTTATCTGCATTTGATTAAAATGTTGGCACACAATCCACCTTTATGTAAAAAGTTATTACATAATTAGTGTTTGACAAGGGGGAGGATATGTGAGAGTGTTTCAAAGTGCCAGACCAAATCCCAAGGAAGTCATAAATCCATGTTACATTTTTATACTTTGGGTGTATCCTTCAAATTTAAATAATAATTTGTACAACCAACAGCTGCCTAGCCTATTCTGAATGGCAGAATAAGCCATGACGCATAGGAATGATGTATATCACAGTCCTGTAATTGTGTCACAGGAATAAATGTCTGTGACGTTGGTTTGTAAGTTTTGTTTTCTATTTTTCTATGTAGCTTCATGTGTATCACACCAACTCCAGACTGGGAAGTGGGCGGGCATTTTCTTGGCTTCACTTCAGTGGTGATTTGCACGACCTACACTGCCAGAACAGATGTTTGGTCTGAGCGAGCCCACTGGCTGTTTTTCTTGTGGAAAAGTTTAAATTTAATTAAAAAGAGAGATTTAAAACCAACTACAATCTGAGAGATGTCTGGAAATACGACTTGCGAGGACATCAATGTGAATTTTACGCACAACTTTCTGCCGCCTGTGTACATCACTGTGTTCGTCGTCGGGACGCTGTCCAACATCTGGGGGCTAAGAAGCGTGTGCACCAGCTGGAACAACATTGGAAACATCAACATCTTCATGCTCAACCTCGGGGTGGCGGACCTGCTGTATCTGTCCACTCTGCCGTTCCTTGTGGACTATTACGCGCACGACAGCAAATGGAAGTTCGGCCAGCCTTTCTGCAAGGTGACCCGCTTCTGCTTCAACCTCAACCTTTACGGCAGTATCGGCTTTCTCACCTGCATAAGCATCTACAGGTATTTGGGCATCGTGCACCCCATGAGAGTGATGGGGAAAATCACCAGCCAGCACTCGCTGGCTATAAGCGCCCTGGTCTGGCTTTTCGTCATTGTTCAGATCCTCCCTGATATGTTCTACGACAAAAATGATCTAATCGCACCACACTCGTGTTTCGACACCACCTCGAACGAGCTGACCAAGGCCTACCTGCCCTACAGCCTAGCTTGGACCGTCACAGGCTTTGTCATACCATTGGTTATAATTCTGGTCTGTTACGGACACGTTGTTTTCGTCCTTGCTAAAAAAGCCAATGTCAACCCTCTGTTGAAGCAGCGGTGTTTGAAACTGGTTGTGATTCTGGTGATACTATTCTCCATCTGTTTCATACCCTACCACGTGTTTCGAAATGTTAATCTGAAAACAAGGATTTTGAAACGAAATGGGATTTGTCACGCCAGCTTCCGCGACATCTACATTGCTCATCAGGTCGGCAGAGCTCTGGCTTGTTTAAACAGCGCAATAAACCCTCTGATTTATATAGTTGGAAATGATGAATTTCTCATGAAGCTTCATCACATCGGTAGGCGGGTTCGGCTGTCAGTGGCAGACCTGACAGGCACACTCCTTTACCGCAAACCGGTGGAAGGGATCCCGGATTCGTCGTCAGAGACTCCTGTTACCTCCGACCTGATCAAAGCATAAGACGCACAATCGGTCCACCCGACATACATTTCAGTGCTGCGGAGTCCTTGCATATCATGCACCGCCAGAACTTCCACATTTCCGGAAAGTGTGGCAATGACCGATGATTTGCAAGATATTTCGCTTGTTAACGATGTCGTAAATCATCAGGGCACCAAGATGGCAGTGCGGAGAGAAAAACAAGTCCTGCTTGCGAATTTTCTCTGAACTTTATAACAAAAGACAGAAATTGCTATTTGCTGCTGCAGCTCATGTTATCATCTCATTTACTGCAGTTTTTGCTTCAAGCATTCAGTATTGTGCCAAGGTGGTGTTGTATTCATGTGTTTGTGTGCTTTAAAGCCGATGTCCTGTGAAAGTCTAATCCATGTATTATGCTTCAGCATTGCCAGGGACTTGTAAATAATTTACAATATATTTCACTACCTTTGCACTCTTACAAGAGAAGATTTGATTGATAATGGTTTGTATTTTCCATCGGTTATGTAACAGATCCTTTAAGGGTTTTGAACAGAAGCTCTTATTTCATTTAACTGTCAGAGTGGCCATTCCACAGCCTTTATATTGCAAGATTATTTAAAGAAAATAGACATGGTTTTAATAAGGAACTGCAACAGCTACGAAAGTGCTGGGATCTACAGTCTGAAGAAGTGGTGGAGAAAATAAGCAAAACCTCAGTAAAGCTATAAATACTACGCTGTAAAAAGTAAAAGTCCTGTATTAAAATGTTTTCTTACATAAAACTACTTAAGTATTATATTGAAAATGCCTCAAGTATCACAAAAATTAAAGTCTCCTGTCAGCATTAAATATTATTATATACTATATTATTGGATCATTATTAATGATGAATTGCCATGTAAGGTGAAATAAATTAGGAACGCCTAGATAAAACTAATGCAGCCCAATTCAGCAATAAATTCTATGTTCAGTTTTAGAGAGGTGTTGATTCTACTGTATGGTAATTTTAGAGGATGTAGTTTGTGGGGATGTTAATGCTTATGGGTATTGCATTATATTGAGAGGTGTTTCTATTATTTTGTCCACCCCATTTATATCAGTGGTGGTAGGCAAAGAGAATTACAACAGGACCTTTACTGATTGTTGTATTAGACTGCATTAGTTTTAGCTAGGTGTACCTCATAAACTGGCAACTGAGTGTGTTTATACAGAGCACCAATGTTTAGAATTACATTTACTTTGTGACCTATATTCTTGTTTTCTTCCACTGTACCTACATTTAAGTACCAGTGAGCAACAGTAAGTATTTTACGGGTACCTGGTTCATGCAGCAAAATGACACTGCAAATTGCATGCTGAATTTTCAATGTCTTTCCAAAGATTTGGAGAGATTTAAGTTCAGCTGTATTACGCACAGTTTCAGGAAAGGGTGAACCAACCACAAATATGCAAACACAGCTCTGGAGTCCACCACCTAATTCCTAATTATATTTAGTCTGTTCCTGTAGAACTGTGTTTTGTAATTGCCCTAAACAATCTAATTGCCCTTTTGTAAACAGTCCTATGCTTCACTGTGAGTGAGAGTCAGTGATGGAAGAAGTACTTCTATATGTAAATAATAACACAGTATAGAAATAATCTATTACAAATAAAAAGTCCCAGACTTTGACCAAAGGTGAAGCCAACTTTTTATCTAATGAATAAGATCTGACATCATCTGTTGTGAGAGATTCTTTGGAACTGCAACATTAATTAGATAAAGCATCCTGTCTCTCTCAGTTCTAATGAGGCAGTACAATGAAGAAGGAAGTCAAGGCCCTGAGAGGACTTTTCTTAATAATTTATTAGATCCATGACCTGCTCTGCCCTAGCAGCTGATATGTTCCAGACTGGTTAGGGAAAATGACTCTTGCTCTGGCTTGATTCTGGTTTGCAAGGCAGACCAGGATCGTGCTATAAACAGGAACATGCTGTATAAAACAATGATGATATACTTTCTGAGTCCAACATTCCTCTGGCCCCTTGAAGTGTACACAAAAGCCAGAAGTGTTTTCTAGTTAGATTGGAGACAGAAACATAATAATTCATGAACTACTTCTTGACTCTGCACAAAGAAGACATGTACAAACCTTTTTACCAAGCAAACAATTGTGTTACCAGGTGCTTGACGTAGAGATGCCCGCTATATGGCAAAAATACAGGAACTTCCATATTCCGTCATTCTTCCGTTATGGTTGCAAAATCATTTCCCTGTGGTTCCATTCTTACAAATTTCTCACGCCCTCATTCTGAATCAGTAACACTGAATATTCTAGTGTTGTAAACAGTCTCAAAGCCAAAAAGTGACATAAGAGAGCTCATGCCATCCATGCCATCCATGTCTGTCCTTGGTGCCTTTGTGGTGTCTGAACAGTATCCAAGCACAAACGTACGTTGCCTGCACAGATAAATATTACTATCTCACTGATTTTCACTCCCACACATCCCCTGATTCTGTAAACACAGTCTGGTAACAAAACACAAAAGCTTGCTTGATGAATGGGCATAGGCACTTAGAGGAAAGAACTGAACCATCTACAGACGGACACCATGCAGTTAAACCAGTCAGTGAAGCAAAAGGGAACACAGAGACATTGCACTGTTAACCTCACTCACTGCGTACTGCTGCTGCACCTTTTCTCTGCTATTTTTTGGACATTCAAATGCTCTTAACTTCAGACTGAATTGCCTGTACTTTCGTTTTATTAGTTAGAAATCAGAAAATCAGAAACAGAATAATTGCCAAGTTGTTTATACATACAAGGAATTTGCGTCGGTGACTAGGTGCATAACAATAGACATTAACCTATGTAAATATATAAATACATAAAAATATGAAATTGCCAAAATATGGAAATATATATTACATATACATTATATATAAAAATATGTAAGTTGTAGAAAACCTTGTGAACATAAAGAGCACAGTACTGTATGTTTTAGCACAAAATAATACTGAATGTAGATTTAAAACAAAGCATCAGTTATTTCAGCAAATGCCTAAAAACAACATGCAAGTATAAGTACAAGTACCATGCTGTGAAAAGTCCTGGATTAAAATGTTTGCTTTAAATAAACTACCGAAGCATAATCAGCTCAGTGTGTTCAAGAATCACACATTAAAAAAGACTCATTATGCAGAATGGCAGCTAGGTGAAGGTTCCCATGGGTGATCCATTATCACGGCAGCAAGGAGCTTGCTTGTTAATGACGCAGCCAGTCAAACAACTCAAACCAACATCAGCACCGTGTGTTCAGTGTTGCTTTATGTTACCTGGCTTGTAACGTCATTTCAAGTTTTTAAGCGAGTGTGCGAGTGAACACATGCACATATGACGACAGCTACACCGCTCCCTGAAAAAAGATAACTGCTAACAAGAAAACTGGACTCTGATGGTAACTTGTTTTAACAAGCTGGTAACACCCTGGCAGTGGCAAATAGCTTTGGTTTAATATTTGATTTGATTACATTAATGTTTAGGTTATAGGTAATATTTTATTGCTGCTGTGTAAAGAGAATACTGCTGGTAAAAAGCTAAGTATTTGTTTAAAGTGTTTGAAAACCACATGTTATTGCACTTTTGTGTATATAGCAGTACATTTAAATTACAAGTGCGCAATACACTACTTTAGAATTCATTATTCTTTGCACGTAACAATGGGATTAATCGCAATTAATCGCAAGAAAATAATGTGATTAATCTCTGGTAGGTTGTTCCCGAGTGTTTTAAAGGCCCTGTCTTCTAGACCTTGGAATAGTTAGCAACGTCCTATCAGAGGATCTCAGTCTATGGAGAAAAAAGCTCAGAGATATACAGTATGAAGATGCCAGCCCATGTCTGGTAGTGAGTAAATAAAGTATTTAAAAATCAGTCCTAAAAGAAACAGGCAACCAGTGCAAGGATGCACTGGGGTGATATGGTCAAAACTTTTGCAGTGTCCAGCAAACCCTGGTCGTACTTATTCATGAGGGCCTCTAGCTCCTGACAGCCTGTGATGATCCCTTGGTAGAGCATTCCCAGAAGAGCAAGGAGGAGCTTCACCTGGGTGTTAGCCAGGGTCATGGCACACCGCAGCCTTCGCTGGTCAATGAGGGACCACACCGTGCTGTCAGACAAATGTAAAGTGTGCTGCTGCTGGTCTGCAGTTGGTAGCAAATCATCACGCTTGATTTCCAAGTAGTACGAGCTCCTCTGCATGAGCTGCAGCTTTTCCTGCAGCACCTTGGAAATACATCACAGTGACTCATGAATCTACAGGTGCTCTGCTAAGTGTTGAACCTCTCATACTCAACATTCCTCAGACAGCACACACAGCAAACGGTGTTTTATAATTAGACCTTTAGTCAGGTTGAAGTTAGGTTTAGCTATGCTTGGAATTACATGATGTTGTCAAATTCTTTGAACTAAGAACAACAACAAAAGTGTCACTGACAGGTGCGGCGTAGCTAAACTGGAGAACGAGGAAACTGTCAATCAAAAGTAAATAAAGTATTTAAAAATCAGTCCTATAAGAAACAGGCAACCAGTGCAAGGATGCACTGGGGTGATATGGTCAAAACTGTTGCAGTGATTTAAAAGTTGAGTTGCAGTGTTTTAGACTAATTGTAGGTGATTATTTCTGACTGAGACAGGTATAGAGGGAGTTACAGTGGTTGAGACTGGAGGAGAAAAATTCTTAGCATAAGTTGCTAGTTCCCCTAGGTTTGCCATGATTTGTGTTCTGTGAGCCGGGGAACCTAGTACAATGACAATTTCAGATTTTGTAAGAAAGTTGTAGGAAGTTGTGTGACATCCAGTTTATGACGTAACAGACTCAAAAGTGAAAACAATACAAGAACAAACCAAGATGTTGATTGCATGTTGCATTGCTGCAAGCTTTTTGGAAGTCTGCACTGTTTTACTGCTTTCCTTAACAATTACCTATCCTTAACGTATTAAAACTTACCTGAGGAGCTGAGTGGGACAGACCCGGTTATCAGGGCTATCAATCGAGGATGCCTTGCCAGCTGGATTTAAAGGTCCAGTTTTATTTAGGAGGATATCTTGACAGACATGCAATATAATGTACATGTTTGCAGTGGTATATAAACTTTCATAATGATCCATTATGTTTTTATTACCTTAGAATGAGACATTTATATCTACATACACCTTACATGGAAGTCGCCATGTTGCGCCGCCATGTTTCTACAGTAGCCCAAACGGACAAACTGCTCTACAGAGTCATTGTGCGCTGTCACTAAAATGATGGTGTTTTCATATGTGTGAAGGTGTGCTGTCACCTCTTATGGTGCAAAGTGGCACAACTCATAAAAAGCAAAAAAATTAGAGAGAAGATGAGGATTAAGAACAAAATCATCGCAGGAATCAAAACCTAAAGTGTAAGTGGCAATCCAAAAATGTTTTTTTTAATTACCCAGGCTATATTCCCTGTAGTCCCGATCTAATCATTTACATGTGGTTCAAATTTCTGTCTTTAATCTCCCACTGTGGATATTTATTTTTCATTTTTCAACTTTTTTGTCCACCAAGAAGTTATTTTGACCAACCATTTTATCATGCACTTAGCACAGTTTTCAATTCAAGTTATTTTATTTGCAAAAAAAAGCAGGTCAAATATATTTATCTTTATAACTATACACAAACTGTAAATTCTCTTCATTAACTTCATGTTCATTTCTTACTGTGAAATGGCTAAGGTCTTCAGGATGATGGTGTCAATCCACAGTCCATAGACCAAGTTTACAGCCTCTACTCTCTTGACGGAGAACTGATAGTACCTGTCGGGCGTTAGGTCGTTGACCTCTATGTTGAACGACTGAGATGTAGATTTAGTAAACTGGCCATGTTCACCAATGGTTGGGTGAAGGCTCTTTACCTGGATCACAAACTGTTGATTTGGCCCCTTCGACTGCAGTCCTGCAACTTCCCAAAAAAGATGCACTGTGTGGGATGTTGCGCACGACTTGAACCTGTTAAATATAACAGGCATCTTGATGGCCAGCAATGCACTAAGCTGTGGTACGGGTAAGGTGCCTGTGTTGAGGATGAGCTGGTTCTGCAGGTCCAGCCGGCCAAGATTCTGACTCATTCTGCTTTCAAAGTCGTTCACATACTGATGGATTTGCTTGAGCTTCTGCTGCGCGGAAGCTGCCATGTCACTGTCCACCAGACCCTGGTCGTACTTATTCATGAGGGCCTCTAGCTCCTGACAGCCTGTGATGATCCCTTGGTAGAGCATTCCCAGAAGAGCAAGGAGGAGCTTCACCTGGGTGTTAGCCAGGGTCATGGCACACCGCAGCCTTCGCTGGTCAATGAGGGACCACACCGTGCTGTCAGACAAATGTAAAGTGTGCTGCTGCTGGTCTGCAGTTGGTAGCAAATCATCACGCTTGATTTCCAAGTAGTACGAGCTCCTCTGCATGAGCTGCAGCTTTTCCTGCAGCACCTTGGAAATACATCACAGTGACTCATGAATCTACAGGTGCTCTGCTAAGTGTTGAACCTCTCATACTCAACATTCCTCAGACAGCACACACAGCAAACGGTGTTTTATAATTAGACCTTTAGTCAGGTTGAAGTTAGGTTTAGCTATGCTTGGAATTACATGATGTTGTCAAATTCTTTGAACTAAGAACAACAACAAAAGTGTCACTGACAGGTGCGGCGTAGCTAACAGGAGAATGAGGAAACTGTCTATGATGTACAAAGGTACAAAGTTAGGTTTTTTTCACTGCTGAATTTACAATTGCCATTAGAAGTAATACATTTATTGTAAAGTACTTATTTCATCCGAGGAGCAAGTGAATGCACAGTGAGCCATTTGCTGCAATTTTCAACCCTCACCACTAGATGCCACTAAACATACACACTGAACCTTTAAAACGAGACAGTGTGTATCTGTCTCACAGTTGTGGTTTAGTTACAACTCAGAACTAATGCAAGATGGAAAGCAATGAATTGATATTCACTACTGATTAAATATTGAATTTAAAATGTTGATTAGCTGGGCATACTGGTGAATATAGTTATGCTCTCCGTGAATAACCATCAAGTATTTAGCCAACCCATGGTATATTATATTTGAAAATGTATAAAAGGAAATCTGAGGGAGCCAGTTTGGACCGGATGCAGCTGATAAAATTAACAATAGTAATTGTTATCTATAATTTACAGATGCTATGATTAAGTTTGTCAGTAGAAGAGTTCATCAGCCAGTACAAGCACAGACTCTGCTAGCAGTTAATATTCACTTATCCTATTAAATAAATAATTTCATTCTGTTTTGTCGCTGTAGGTCTACTTATTCTTAGACCAACAGAGCAAACTGTTTTAAAGGAGGGAGTAACTTACCTTACAATAATTTAACAATAGTTCCATATTTCTTACTCTAATAACTGAAATGATTGTCCCCCTGGTTAAATAAATGTATGTTGTTTTATTCGCTGTAGAAATTCAGAATAATACTTAGTGATTTGCTGATATCGGTCAACACACATGCCAACATGTGAATAAGGGAGTACTGGCACTGAACTTTTTTCCACTTCAAGCACTGGTCTTTCCTTTAAAACGTTGATAGTGTTGCACTCACTCACTCAAAAAAAAGAGACGAAAAGTCCTGCCTACTTTCACACACCGTACATCTGGCCATTTGCTGCGTAAAGCAGGTATGATTGTCTGTTTGTCTGATACCTTGGTGTATGGAATATTGTGATGGGCATTTCTCACAATGTTTTGACATGTTATAGACTAAACAACTAATTGAATAATCGAGAAAATAATCAGCAATTCTGTATTTTAGTCCAGTACAACTCTCACACATTGCTTCATATTAAAATCTAAAGCTTCCATGGCCTGTCCTATTCCCTTTGCTCACTAGAGGCCAATGTAATTCACAGTATGTTATACAACAAGCCCAATAACGTGCTAACAAATTAATGATAATACAGAAGTACATACACTCACTGGAAACTTTATTAGGTACAATTGCTTCTTAACACAAATAGCTAATCAGCCAATCACATGGCAGCAATGCATTTAGGCATGCAGACGTGGTCAAGACAACTTAATGATTTAAGTGACTTTGAACATGGCTACAATCCACACAGGCTCACTCAATCCAGATCTCAATCCAGATCTCAATCCAAGATCTCATACCATCAGAGCACCTTTGGGATGTGGTGGAACAGGAGATTCACATCATGGATGTGCAGCCAACAAATCTGCAGCAACTGCATGATGCTATCATGTCAATATGGACCAAAGACTTTCCAACACCTTGTTGAAAGTATGAACCTATAAAAGGGCCAGTGAGTGTATATTGTACCCAGCTCTACATTATGGTATACTAACCATTATGGAGTTGTCATTAAGTCTGGTGACAAGTAGCTGTAGGATCTGGTTGCGGAGGTCTGGGAGGGAGTCCATCTGAGTCCTGACCTCCTGGGCCTCACACTCATCTGAGCTTATATATGCCAGCTTGACTTCATCCATGGAAACAACAAACATTCATAGCTGTAAGGTCAAACTAATGCACGGACATGGACTGTATGTGGATTTTATGCAACATACAGACAACTCAAACAATGTTTCTTTTTGTCCTTTTTGTCTTTGCATGCAACCTGGAAACGTATTTTAGGTCATTTTCTAAACTAACTATGAAATAGAAACAACAGATTAATTAGGGTGTACTGCATGTATTACTTTGGTGTGTTTGTATGAACTGTATACCCCCATAAAATCATATTTAGGCCTTCATGTACAAGTACTTTCATAAACTGCCTATTGTGGAAATTTGGTAATAACATTTACAGACCCAAGGTTGTTTTTTTCATATTTCTGCCTCCTTTACAAATAAGGACAAAATGAAATGCTGTGAGATGTTTATGTTTCAAAAGATAGTTTATATTTCACCAGTTTGAAGTAAACCAATAAAATCATCACATATTATCAGCCTGTCTGCAGTCCACCTGTTTACTATAAGCACTCCAAAGTTGTGCCTCCACCCAACCACCCAGTCACAGTGGTGTGTCACCACACCCACTCATCTGTCAACTACAACCCTCCTTCCATGTCCTTCCACAACATCCTCTTACTCAAGCATATATACCACAGTAAAAAGTGAAATTACCATCTCTGCTGCTATTATAGAAATAGATTCAATATTCTCTGGAAAGGATTCAAGAGCAAAAGTAAATATTACTGTCTGCAATTTCAGGACATTTCGGGACAACATTTACTAATTAATAACACTTACACCAATCAGCTAGCCTATAACATTATACCCACCTGCTGGACTTCACTTTGTGTTCTGACATTTTTCTTTCAGAGCCAGCAACTCAAATCAACTTTTTCAGCAGTTTGACCTACAGTAGCTCGACTGTATCTGCATCAATGAGCTTGTGGTCATAATATTATTGCTGATTGGTGTGTTTTATTTCATTATAACAATATGAAAATATATATAAACACTTGTGAGAGTTTATTGGCCATAAAGTCACAAACACAGTAAGACCAAAAGAGTAAGGTGAATACAATTCCACATTTTTAACAACATTGTTTGTCAGGCAAACTCTCTGAGATACTGTAAACCTAAACTAACCTTAGGCCTAACTTGAACCTAACATGCTAAAGTTAGCAAGCTCAGAAAAGTTGTAATGATCCTCATACACTCATAAGGGCAGAGTAGCTAAATTACATCAGTAGAATTACCCTATATGTTATCAGTTGACAATACCAAAGCTTTAAGAGACATGAATTTCTAAAGGGAACAACTCATGGTTAGCCTGATACAGCTAATTAGCTAATGCTAGCATTGATAATATCTATGAAATTATCTACCAAACAATAAACTATCCAGTACTCTGCCTGATAATTAGTCATCAATAAATACAACAATAATTAAGCCTACCTATTTTCTGTTGTTTTACTTAGGCTTCCTGTTGTATAGTTTAATTGCAACTCCTGTTTATAGTTAATTGTTCATCTGCATGGTTACTGTTTATCTTCCACAGTTACGGAATGACAGCTGGAACCTGCATTGCCTTCAGGTTCTGTCAGTTGTTTGGACTTTTTGTGCTGTAAAAGTGAAAGTCTATAAGACAACATCTTTGCTTTTAGAAATTAAATGCGTAGCGTTTGATGAGTTGCGGCTCGTTAGCTGGTTTAGCAGAAGCCTCATAGATTGACTGCATTTTTACAGCATGGCAGTCATCATGCCACTCAGTCAGTGAATACTTCTGAACACAGCACAAACTGTTGTGGGGCTAAGATAGCCACTACTTTAAAGTCTTTATCACAGTCACTCCAAAGAAGTCATCAATATCAAGAGGAACCAAAGGGTGAGTTCAGACAGAAATGGTCATAAATAATTCCAAATCTTAGGTTTGAGCCTGTTAGCCCTTTTTGTAGGAACCCTGATCAGGAACACTGGTCACAAAACAACATTCACAGTATAATAGTCTTGTCACAATTCAGTTCAATCTGGCTTTATTGGCTTGAATGTAAAATAACAATATTGCCAAAGCTGCAAATAAATTACAAAAGAACAATTCATTTTAATTATCATTAATCACTATAAATAATAATAATAAAAATTAAAATAAAATAAACCAATAAAACAGTATATGTGTGTATATTAATTAATTAATTATTATTAATAATCAGTATCAAATGTGAAAAAATTCTGAATAATTATTTACAGTTTTTTTCAATTGCTAAGATGCAATGGTGACAACTGAAGCCGCTTTTTCAAAACTCTTCAAACAGTCTGCATTACCAACATGCATCTTGGCCAAATAGTTAATCTGACCTCCAAAAGTCACTCAAACCACCAAAACACTTCGTACAAGTCTCAAAATAGACTCGTTCAACCAAAACACTGGCAACAATTCTCATTTAGAAAGCATACAGTCTCCCTCAGAACACACTGACCTACAAAACACTAAAAACAGGGAGCATTACATAAATGAAGAACTTTTATCTTTGAAGCATGAGCAAATAAATTACGTTTTCATTATACAATAACAATAACTTATTTTCACTTTGACGGTACTAAAGTATATGTAACAACAATGCATCAGAAATGCAGCAATTTGCTTCAATATTCTTTATTTGTTCCTTATCTGTGGATAGTATTATAACTGTGAAAAATGTTACCGTAAATTGAAACAAAACCCCCCACAAATTTCTGGAATTCCAGGGCTGCAAACAGTAATACAAATAAGAAACACCTCAAAAACTCATAATGTACAGTACTTGAGGGTGCTAGTCCTCCCTCTCTGCTGCATTTGGCACAAGTTCTCATCAACATCAACATCACGTCTTCCCTGGCGATGCATCTTGGAAAGCATCTTCTGGAATGTCTAATGCAACCCTGGCAGTCTTCAGGAGAAGTGTCTCCACATCCTGCATCCATGGCATCCAGTAAGGTCATCTGGTCACGTGGATAGTGGTCATACACCTTCCATCTCCATGCAGAGAAAAACTCCTCTATGGGGTTTCGGAAGGGGGAGTATAGAGGCAGGAACAGTACAGACATCCTGGGATGTGCAGCGAACCAGTCTGTAACTGCAGCAGAGTGGTGGAATGCCACATTATCCCACACAACAACAAAGGTAGGGGAGTTTCTTGCTCCTCTCTCCTCCGCTGGCACAAGACGGTTATGCAGGTCATCCAGGAAAGACATGAGCCTCTCTGTATTGTAGGGACCAATGAGTGGTTTGTGTAACAACAAACCATCATTGGACAGTGCGGCACACATCGTGAGCTTCTCTCTGCCCTGGGACATCCAAGGTCGCTCTCCGTCCAATCACATTTCTTCCCCTGCAGCATGTTATTGCCAGGTTAAATCCAGCTTCATCCACAAAGATGAATGTTTGTGCAGTCTCCCTGGCTTCCATCTCCATTACTCTCTAAAATACAGTAAATACACAGTTTTAATATACTTCACATTATGCATCATTGTGTATGTTCCCTGACTGATTATTGGACATCTTACCTGGACGTATTGATAACAGTTCTTTCACACATTCACAGTGTCTCTCGAATGGTACATTCTCAGATTTTCTACTTATTTCAATCTGGTCACTGCAGAAATGCAGTACATTTACCATCAATCTGTTTTGAATGTGTTTTTAACAGTTTTGGACTGGACTGCGTGGTGAAGTAGTAATGAGAAAAGAGTTCATGAATTTTGGAGAAAGGGGTCATTGAATGCATTTTGTGTGAAAGCAATGACAAAGGATTCAAAGTTTGGTCCACATACACTTCTGTTGCGCTGACTGTGTAAAGAGTTTTGACAATGCACAATTATGGTAACATATTTTGTTGTTTTTCATTCTCTGAGCCAGTGGAAGCATGTAAATGTTAAACAAATTGGCCCCAGAATGGAGCCTGGGGGAACTCCACGTGTCATTTTTGTCATCCCAGATGTGTAATTACCTATAGACACAAAGTAGTCCCTGTCCTTTAAGTAGGATTCAAACCATTTTAGTACTGCCCCAGAAATTCCAACCCAGTTTTCAATTCTGTCTAGTAATATGTTGTGGTCGACCGTGTCGAATGCAGCACTGAGATCCAATAATACTAAGACTGAAATTCTGCGACTGTCAGTGTTTAAATGGATGTCATTGAAGACCTTAACAAGAGCCGTCTCAGTGCTGTGGTGTGGTCGAAAACCTGACTGGAAGACATCAAAACAGTTATTTAGTGCCAAGAAAGTACTGAGCTGTTGAAAAACAGCTTTTTCAATGATTTTACTTAAAAATGGGAGATTTGATATGGGCCTATAATTGATCATTAGTGACCTGTCTAGATTTCTCTTTTTTAAGAGTGGCTTAATGACTGCAGTTTTCAGGGCCTGTGGGAAAAAACCCGAGAGAAGAGACATGTTGACAATTTGTAGTAAATTTGAGGCCATGCATTTAGAAACATTTTTGAAATAACCTGTTGGCAGAATATCAAGGCAGCATGAGGAGGATTTCAGATGTTGTATTATGTCCTCCAGGTTTTTATGGTTGATAGAATCAAATTGTCTCATGCTATATGAATTGTTTTTAAGACACAGGGACAAGACATATCCTGTTACTGGCACCGAGGCACTGATTGCTTGTCTAATTGTTTGAATTTTGTCTGTGAAGAAGGAGGCAAATTCATTGCAGGCTCTGGTGGATAGAAGTTAAGAGGCTACAGACACAGGAGGGTTGGTTAGCATGTCCACAGCAGCAAACAGGGCACGTGCATTATTAGTGTTATTGGTGATGATGTCAGAGAAGAAGGACCGCCTTGCATTTCTCAGTTCTAAATTATAAATGCAAAGTCTCTCTTTATAGATGTCATAATGAACCTGGAGATTTGTTTTCCGCCACCTGCGTTCAGCTCTTTCAACACTCTCTTTTTTGAGTTCTAACCAGCGTGGCATTTCTCCATGGAGATCTTCTCTTACCAGAGACCACCTTCACCTTGGCTGGTGCAATGGCATCAATAACATTTGTAATTTTAGAACTGAAATTATCTACAAGCTCATTGACTGAGACCCGTGAAAGGGCGGGTGTTGAGGAGAAGGCCATAATACATTTTTCACTAGTGTTTTCAGTGATATGCCGTTTTGTGATCACCTCTGTTTTAACATTTGTGTGCACGCAGATAGCACTCTCAAAGAAAACACAGGAATGATCAGAGAGATGTCCAGACCCTTGGAGATGACCAAGTCCAAAGTGTGCCCCTTATTGTGTGTGGGCTCCATCACATGTTGGGTCAGTCCATAATTATCAAGAACACAACACAGTTCTTTAGTCCCTCTGTCCTGGGGGTTGTCAACATGGATGTTAAAATCCCCAACAATAACCACACAGTCAAAGTCAATACAGATTATAGACAGCAGTTCAACAAAGTCATCAAAAAAGTTTGCACAGTATTTAGGGGGCCTGTAGATATTTAGAAAAATAGCTCGAGAAGAGGAATTCAGCTGAAGAGTAACATATTCAAAAGAAGCAAAATTCCCATAAGACATCTTTTTGTATTGGAAGAGGTCGTTAAACAAAATGGCAACTCCACCTCCTCTCTTATGCACTCTAGCTTCACTCATGAAACTGAAGTTGGGAGGGATAGACTCGATAAGGACAGCTGCACTGTTATCTTGGTCCAACAAGGTTTCAGTTAAAAACATGAAATTAAGATTGTGAGTGATTATAAAATGTTTTTCCTGCCAAAGACCTAACGTTAACAAAGCTAATTTTATTGTGTCAAAAACATTATCTGGCCCACTTTTTTCGACAGGCTGCAGCTGACGAGGAATTAATACTAAATTTGCAGGATATGTTGAGTGCTTCCTGTTTCTTAACACATTCACCAGGCTTTTTCTGTTACCTGTCAAGACAGGGATGGAGAAGACTACCAGCACATTGGGCCCCGGCTTGTCCTGGGAAGAGTCGTGAGTGCTATTTTCCTTGTAGCCTGGACCCAGCACATATCAGACAGAGCTTACTGGGCCTTTTCGCCATTGTGGAGCGGGAAGGCGGGTTGTGCGCTGTACTTTTGACAGATGTGTCAAACCTGGAGGACTTAGAACCAGTGGTGGAGGTGGACGGTGAGGGGGGTTTATGGTAGAGAAAATGGGAGTGGAGTGAGGGAAAGTGCGGGGAGTAAATTTTGTCCCAGCTCTAACCAGGTCTTCCATCTGATCAGTGAAGTCCAACAGGGGGGAGAGAGGGGAGAAAGGGTGTCTGGAGATAAGGGTGACCTGGATGGGGATTGGGGGGGTAAAGATGGTGAATCCTCACTGTTGGTTTTCAGTGAGGGAGGTGGAGGCTCTTTTTTTTGGCTCAGTTGTCTCCCGTGATCAGAGCTCTCTTCCGGCGGGGGCTGAGCTGGCTCTCCTTCAAGGTTTCTGGCGTGTTGTGTTATGTCCAGCCAGGTTAGCAATTGAAAAAAACTGTAATATATTGATGTATTCTGAGTTTCCACTGGTTGTCCTCAGTTTGTCGCACGAGGAGACATATTTTGCAATTATTTGGCATTATGGCATTTCTCCCAGTAAAAAGGGGAGTTTCTGTTTGTCTGATATAAATTCTAATTTGGGGTATATTTGGGAAATGTTTGCATATGTATATTTGAAATGCTTGCAAAGTTTTCTCTTAAAGTTTTTATATTTAGGGCATGAGAAAGAAAGTGCAGCTCTGTCTCTAACTGTCCTCTGTCAGTCTCTCCTCTTGTGGTAGAAAACACAGGGTTGGTTGCTATGAGCTTTTCCACATGAAAGAAAACAGAACACAATTTGGCTAAAATTGACAGATGAGTTCTGCTGGAGGAAATTACAGGCCTATTACCCAGCATCCAATTAGAATCATGCAAATGACTTGAGCCCTGTGGGGCCCAACAGGGCTTTGGTCTGTTGGTTTGAACCTGTTTTGAGTTTCTAGTACATCAGGTTAGATCAGGTTTAGACCTTGAAATTGTGATTGTGTTATGTGTGTGTGTGTGTGTGTGTGTGTGTGTGTGTGTGTGTGTGTGTGTGTGGGGGGGGGGGGGGGGGGGGACTTCCAAAACTTGTAGTCAGTTTCATCTCTTAACTTTTTTTTCACTCATTTCAATTTTCAAATGGCATTGGCATGAATATCATAGATTTCATCTGTGATATACATGAGAGTGTTTGGGAGGAAATCCTGAGTTAACCTGTAGGCGTAGTTTTTGAGCAACATAGCAGTTATAGAGATGATGGCAGAAAAGTGTCTGTTAAAGTACAAGATTCAAAACTTTATTGCCACATTAACATGGCTGATTATTTTATTTATCTTAGAGAGCTCAAATGAAGACAAAACATTAAAGCCACTCATTCATAAAGCACATTAAACATTAAACAAAGTTTTCTTTTCACTTCAACTTCAGGTTGACACAGTTTAACTGAATTAACACCTAATTTCAAAATGTCCAAAATGCAGCACATCTGATCTAGATTTATTACATATGATTCTGTAAAATGTTTTTGGCAGAAACTTTGATGGAGATTTGTCTCCACCTCGTGGTTGAATCAGATTTACTAGAGACACACTAGGGTGCATCTTCTTTTCCTTGATACTGGTACTCCACGAATAGTCAAAACGGGTGCTTTAAAATGTAAGTAGCAGCAGTTCAGTCTGAGTTGAACATTGGATCTGGAGCAAACAAATAATAATGGGCACATCAAAAGCCAAGGTCAGACACAGAGTAGGATAGGAGTCCTACTCATTTAAATGAGGCCTGCTGTGTCTGTGACTTAGGCATCTTACTTTAACTATCAAGTATCTGTAATAAGTATTCCAAAGATAACCGTTGTAACTTATTTATTTGTTCAATTCTCAACAAGGAAATGTACAATTTCCACCAAGGCATGAATCTTCTGTTGACTACAACAACAAGCAACATAGTCTGCAGTGTGTGCATATAGGAATACAACAGGTGTCCCTGTTATGCTTTCTTTCTTTCTTTCTTTCAGTAGTTTCAGTTTTCAGTATAAGCGTATTGAAATGTCAAATATCCTTAGTAAAGGATCCAAGAAGTCCAAGCTTTACATACCCAAACAAGCATTATAAAACATAAAAAAATAAACATTTCTCACATTTGCTGAGGGGACTTACATGCAGTTTTATATAATATCCTACATAAATTATAGAGCTGAAACAATTACTTGATTAAATTGATTTGGTGATTTTCAATTAATCGTTCAAGACATTTATCAAGTAAATATGCCAAACCTTCTCTGGTTCCAGCTTTTCTAATGTGAGGAGCTTTTGCTTTTGCTTTTGTTTTACATAACTATTACAAAGACTAAATGATTCATAGAAAACAATGGATTGACAATATTTGATTACTGACTTAATTGTAAATAGCCTACATAAACTCAGTCTTCACAAACTGTTCTTGTTTTTATCTTGGAGTATGCTTATTTGAATGTTAAATGTTTAAAATGAATAAGAGTTTCTAAATCAAAACAGGTTGTTTAAGTTTTTTTAATCGAGTATTAAATAAGGCTAAAGTGCACATCAGGTTAACGTCGTAATGACGTAATCCAACATGACGCGCTCACAGACGCACTGAGCGGAAAAAAAAATCCCAACTGTACCTCACAGTCCATCCATAGAGAGTGTTCAGGATTCACATGACACATCGAGCTGTTCTGACTGGTGTGTCCTGCTAGTAACTACCTGGTTTGGGTTTGAAATCCACGCTGGAGGGACAGAGCAGGAGGAACGGGACCACGGATTTACGGACTGTCGCTACTGTACTGAAACTGGACAGCCATGGGAGCTGTTCTGGGGGCCTTTTCCTTCGCAAGCTGGGTAAGTTCTGAGTATTGCGAATATGAACTGTGTCATTTACAACCGCTTTGGTTTAAATGGACGGGAATGTAAGAAGCGCTGGCGTCATGAAAAGTAATAAGCAACAGGTAAGATCGCTCCACACCGCTCTCCTGTGCGGGGATCATGTAACACCAAACTCAACTCAGATATCTGCTGGTTTAATTCCCAGTCCTCCTCTCTTAGTTGTTGGGCTTCGCTTCAACAGAATTGTTAAGTAGTTGAGCTCGTGACTCGGATCTATTAATGGCTTGTTAGTAAAGCAGAACTTACTTACTTGAGTTGTTTTGTGCTCATCCGCAAGAGAGCTTGCATATTTAAGTTTAGGGTAAGCCAAACTCCTTTAAGATATGTGGCTTTGTAATTGCGCCTTTCTCTTTTTATCACGTTTGAGAAGAGATAGAATATAACTTAAACTATTTAATGAATTATTTGGGTTTGTTGGTTAATTCCGCACTGATTTCTTTAGTAGCGCTTTTTCCAATTATATTGAACTTGGGCCTATTTACAACCCGACCACCACCTTCCAACTTTCATTGGCGAAAGCATATTTTTTCAGCCGGTTGAAATATTATTGAAGAAGCTGTATGTATGTGCATATGGTGCATATATCTATATTGACACTTTATTGAGACATTTCAGATTGCCATCAGCATGCCTATGTGCTTTATAACGACAGAGAAAAAAGTTATTCTTCGTGACAATCGGGCCTGACTCAGTGTGACACCGTTAGAGTGCCACCTGTAGCTAACCTGCTAAATGTAATAGTGTCTGTGATTAAATATTTGCAACAAGAGAGTAGACAAAATATGAAGCCCACAGCAAAGCAAAGGGTTAATCATAACACACCTGGTCATCTGCTTACACGTGATTCATTGGATTAACTCTGCCTTGTTCCTTACATTTGGAAGCAGATGATGATCCCAACATGCATTTACAAGAGAGAAGAGCAGAACAACATGGAAATGGGGCGATGATCCATTTCACAGAAATGGCTTGGATTAGGACAAATACTACAAGAACATTTTGGAAGTAAAATGATTCACTCAATTATTAATTTGACAACAACAATATTTTACAACAATTTATACAAAATGTATAAAAACTAAAGACAAACATCAACACAAATTGTCCAGTTATCTAATATTGCTGGTATTGAATTTAATGGGAGGGAAAAGAAACAAATCCTCACATTTCTGAACTTGATGAATGAATTAAAAGGTTATGACTAGATTATGAAGATTTTCAGTCTAATTAACAGTCTAGGTTTCTATGTTTTGGGGAACAGAGATCCTCTCTCAGCCTTGAATGAACATTCCAGTAGAGGAGAGTAACAAAAAGAGAGGAAACCACCAAAACAATCTCACAGCTCTGACCTAAACCCTAGTAAATGTGGACGGACTAACATAAGGAGTGTAGGAGAGGAAAGGTTAAGGATAAAAACTCAATGCATATATATCTATAAGCCATAACAAAATTAGTAATAACAGTTATATAGTTATAATAATAGGAAAAGAACATACATAAAAGATTAAATATAAGAGGACACAATTTTCTGCCATAACAATGACAACCATGCTTCTTTCAGTTTTACTCTAATAAAAGACATTTCCTGAGTTTATTTTGGTTCAGGTCAGGACAGAGCTTGGGCTGGTTGGTCATGTGCACTTGCTGGCTGCGCGTTATCTGGCACACATTACCATGGCCTAGTCTGTGCTTCTACTAAGTCGGCCTTGTCTGGCTGGCAGGGGAATTAACTTGTTGACGATGTTCCGGCCCTCCTTATCTCTTGACTCTACTCAGTTGTCAGTGTAGGAGAGAGACTCATCTAAAGCAGTGTAGGGAGTGTATTTATTGTAAATGAATGCACAGGTTTGAGTATGACCCGTGTGTATTTTTCATTGAAGTGATACTGAAAGTAGGTCATTAATAGATCTCCAAAGGGACTCAACGTCTTACTCGGATATACGGCTAGATTTTACAATATTTGTTTTTCTGTAGTTTATGATTAAAGTTTAAATATTAAATATTTTTCCACCTGTGTCAGTTTTGGACACTATAGATTGGCATAATGTTGAATTCACCACCACCATCGGAAACGCAGAGAACACAATCACTCTGGTGCAAGCAGCTTAACAACATGGACTCTTTTTAAGTCCTATTAATGTGTTTCTTTTATATTTTAATGCCATTGTGTGTCTTATGTAAAGGCCTTGTTGTAGTTGAAAGGGGCTTCGCACATAAACTTGCCTTGCCATGAACATGCCACTTTAACTTTATTTGACCCAATCTGTCATGTAACGTCCTGCTGCTGGAAATACTCACTGCACCAGTGAATGTGTATTAATCCAACGCTGAAAATAGTCCTCAACAGATGCACTATTTCCTCCTGTGTAGTAACATTTTATAAAAAAACGGCCGTGGCCAGCTGTTTTAGGAAATTACATTTTTACATTACATATTGTTTAAATGAAACTTAAATTTTTTTTGTTTTTAAAGATTTACATTTTCAGTAGGAACCAATGGGCTTGGGGCTGAGAGCCACCAACAGGGTCACAAAGTACAGAGTGATAGTCCCCAAGTTGGTTTCAGTCTTTTCATTGGATTTGTGTGCAATTAAATAAAACAGAATAAAACATCTCATCCTTTAAACAGTCCCAACATTTTGCTCCTCTGTAGTGGAAGGATTACTGTATTTGCTTTTGTGACTGGACTGGAAGATTTGATTGTGTGATTATGTTATATGGCAGCTTGTTGCTAAACTTTAAGTGAACTTTCTGCTCTGACTTTTTTGCACTCTGACTTACATCCAGTCCACATCTGCCTGGGCTGGATTTATGTGTTTGTATATGTAACTGAGCTCACATGTTTACTGTGGCTGAGGCCACAGATCTCCTCCAAAAACAGCATCAAGACAGTGTTAACCTGAAAAAAGGAGAGATAACATTGAAATGGTTTAATACTAAAGAAGGCACTCTGACATCTATTTTAAGTACAAACAAGTAAACATAAATCAAGTTAACTAGTATGGATAATGCAAATATGATTACACAATATATGTGGGGTTTTTTTTCAAAAGTGAAGACATGATAACTGGGCTAAGGGATTAAATTGTCATAATAGTGCAACCTCTGATAGGAGTTGAATTGTCATTTTGCACACATAGCAACTGTTAATACAACCTAATTTAAAAGATGGACCACAACATACACAAATACTGGTTGTGCCGTATTATAATTATTGTTTCAGATCCAGATAATTAAGAAATATTTGTTGGACTCTGGTGAAAATAAAATATGGGCAATGAATTCTTTATATTTGGTGGAGTTTTAAAAAAATAATAATACCAAAACAGTTTAGTCTTTTCACAGCAGTTGTCTGTCAATTACCAAAGATTATACAAGCAGACGGAAGCTTGTACAATCATTACACCTAAAGTACAACAGAAAACTGGCAGAACATCTTGTCTATAAATACACTGAGTACATTTCCACCTACCCATCTCCAGTCTGACCATCATTTCATTCTGTTAACACGACTTCTACAGTTGACATGTAATGGTCTATCTGACATTCTCTGTTCAGCATTCTGTCTTAATCTTACTTCCTCTATCACTGAAACACTTTTATTCCATGGTTATGATCTGCAGTTCAGACACAGACCAAAAGTCAGGGCTCATCAGATGACTTTCAGATGATTTATCAGCATCATCTCGCCCATGTCCAATTTGATTTACCATATTTAGAAGCAGAGAAAAGACATTAGCCTCGGCCTCTTGCTAATTTAAAGAACGACATGGGAACATTTTACGCTTATGCTCAGATATCTCTCTCACTCCTTACATTCATTCACAGGATGATTACATGATTTATTGTACAGAAAACAAAGAAAGAACACCACCAAAACTGAGTTTAAGAAAAATGCTTGCTGGTGAACTTTTGCAGTGGTTGGTGGCATTTGAAGCAGAGGTGAAAAATTTAGCTGGAAGTTTGCATGGAAATTTTTCATAAAAGAGATGGATTTTACAAACAGAGAATTGCCTTTCAAGAGTTTATTTTAGTATTCAGTCAATCATTTGCAAATTGACCTGGTCAAGCTTACCTTCAGAGACATATTGTCCTTTAAAGGTACAACACTGAATTGAGACTCCTCCTCACCTGACTAATCTATATCCTCAAAAAATAGGGGCAGCATATCACATATCAGGTTAAAACTGCTGCTAACTCCCGTTAGCTCAGTTAGCTGTGCAGCTAATTCAGCGATCCTAGTAGCTGACTGAGTCAGGAATGAGCATCAGAACCTGAATATTCGAGAATGTTGCTTGGAGTCGAGTGGGAGGACCAGGGCAGGCAGTGTAATACCCAGAAGTGGCACCTAGGTAGGGTGACCATATTTTGCTTTTGAAAAAAGAGGACAGTTGGAGTGGATGGAGACCCGCAGTGGGTGGATGGAGACCCGCAGTGGGTGGATGGAGACCCGCAGTGGGTGGAAGGGTGGGGCTGGGGGAAATTCAAGAAATTGGTGGCACTGTGGCAATGTGTATGGAAGGAGTTGGGTTTTTATTTTGTGAAATAATGCAAATATTATATTGAAATACTTTCTTTCCCCAAAGAGTAAGATTTAATAGTGCAGGTACTGGTCAAAGAAATGCAAAAATGCGCACAGTAATGCCGACTGTAGAAATCAGATGCATTTTTTGTTACCAAAAAGAGGACTTGTTTAGGAAAAAGAGGTTGAGCAGAATAAAGTCTTAACAGCAAGGAAGCTAAAACACTCATGAGTGTCAGGAGATGGGACAGTGCCGCATGAATAAACTGAATCTAGGGAGGAGTGGGGTGAAGAACCGGGGTTTACACGCAGGAGGGCTTGATTAGTTGTATGTGCCTCCGGTGCGTGGGTGATCAAAGGTGAGCAGAGTGGCTGGCCTGAGGAGAGTCGGAGAGCCACGGCCAGACACACACAGACACAAACACATATAGGACAGACTGGTAAACCAGACAGAAAACACAAGGGAGGGGAAATCACAATAGAAACACAGGGAAGTGGAGGAAAAGTACTGCTGACTATAACACAGAGAGCAAGCAACAGTGTGAGAGCCAGAATATCTGTACATGTATAACTCTGTTAATGTTAGTGGTATTATGGTTTTTGGCTTTCTGCCTCTCCTTTATTGAGTTATATATATTTTTGTGCATGCAATAGGTTTGCAAAGTGAAAAAGCCAAAGTCCAGCCCAAAGGGAGTTCCCATCTCCCACAGAAAACTCTGAACTGCCTGAAAACAGTTTGTAGTCCAGTCGTTTGCAAAATGCGCCTCATATAACGCTCACCAAGCGGCTAGTGGAAAAACACTGAGCTGCAGCACACACCTCTCCTCTCCCTTCAAACACTAGCTACCCTCCAGGCAGTCAGTGGACATAAAGTTGTTCCTGTGATGTAGAGACAGAGCTCAGTTAAAACTTTATGGATGAAAGATACTTTTGTTACAGATTAATAACTCACCACTCTGAAACTCTTGCTCCAGTCCATGTTGCCAAGCTGGTCGGCAACATGTACAGCTGAACCGAAGCTGTTGACCGTCTTTTCGCTGACCCGCCCTTCTCTGCTTCTGATTGGCTAGTAGTCCTTAACTAGGAACTGCACATGTGCAACTCCCAACAAAGATCATTTAGAGACAGGATGTATCACTCCATAGCTAAAACGAAGCCTTCAACACAGGGTGAAAAGAGGAGCTGCAGCAATGTGCAGTATGACAAAAATATGGTGTTTTTTGAAAATTAAACCGTGTAAACCTGTTCTGGTACAACCCCTAAATAAAACGATGAACCTGAAAATTAGCATAATACCACCTCTTTAAGAGTTTATTTTGAACTACACAAGTTGCTGATGGTTGGGAGAGTAGAGAGACTAGAGTCTAGAGTTTTATTGTGTCTCTGAAGTTGTTTCTGGAAGAAGTGTCTTTTACAGTGAGGTAGAGACCTGAGCTGTACTATCAAACGAGAAGCAGAAAAAAGTGAAGACGTGATACCCGGGGTAAGGGTTTAAATGGATGGAAATGCAAACACAGAAAGGAGTTGAATTGTCATTTGATGAGTAAGAGATTAAAGCAGTTGAAGAGTAAATTTATATGAGCAAATGTGCAAACAAGGCAACGACTTACATTCATTATTTTAGGTTTCTCCATAAACTTGTCACCAGGTCCTTTTACATGTAGATGCTGAAATGTGTGATTTTGTTTGTCTGTAGGTGCCGTGCCTATGCAGCAGTGCAAGCTGTCTGATGTGCAGCTGCTGTCCGAACAGCAGGAACTCCACGGTGACCAGGATCATCTACGCCTCCATCTTGCTGCTGGGGACCATCGTCGCCTGCATCATGCTGTCACCAGGTGTGGATCAGCAGCTAAAAAGGGTACGAGTGAGTGGGAAATTGTAAATGATTTAGACACTGCTGGGGCATGTGAATAGATGATTTGTAAAACGTGACTTCCTGTGATTTTCTGTAGATCCCAGGCTTCTGTGAAGATGGAGCTGGATCTTCTATCCCCAGCCTGAAGGCTAATGTCAACTGTGAAATGTTTGTTGGCTACAAGGCAGTGTACCGCGTCTGCTTTGGCATGAGTATGTGTTTCCTGGCGTTTTCCATTCTTATGATTAACATCAAGAACAGCAGAGACCCCCGTGCTGCCATCCACAATGGGTAAGCACTGCAGTAACACCAGCAACACCTTTATTGCCCACAGCAGTGGAGGGTGGGTTTTGACCACACCATTTACCTTTATTTGTCTTGGGAGTTGTAGTCTTCTTCTTCTTCTTTGAAAACTGTCAACCTTAGATTGACAATTCTGGAGATGTTACAAGTGTGGAAGGCGTAGAAACAAAGAGCAGGCCTACATTAAATGAAGGGTTTGCTTTCTCTGTCCTCTCCAACACCACGTCCAAGGTATATTATAAGTTATGCAACATGTCATTCAGCAGATGGCCTTTGTCCTGCACTCACCTTTGAAGTCTTTGGATTCTTTACTACACCTGCAACATTCGTTTTCATTATCGATCTACAGCACATCTTTTGATTATATTTTTGATAATTTGATCATTTAGTTCATAAAGTTTACAGTTGGTTTGACCAGCAGCTAACAACGAAAACTAAAGTATTTAACACTTAAGTCTGTGTGTTTTTACCTGTTCTTTTCACAAAGTTATTGATGTGTTCACTTTGGGTGGGACAGCATTCATTTGCATGTTTAGTTTGTAATATGAGTTCCTGGATTTGCAACTATGCTCAAGAACAGAGAATAAAGTTAGATTTTACACCTTTATGGTTTCACATTGCTGCTGCCGCTTTTACTGGGAGTCTCTCTATCCTGTATGTAATGTTTAATGAAATTCCAGCACACAGTACTGGAATTTCAGTACACTACAGGAGCGCGCACAGGTCTATATCCCGACCCGATACCTTCACATTAAAAGCAGAATAGTAGCTGTTGAAAGCAACAGAGAAAACAGGCGTGTGCTTCATTTCTAAGTGAGGCTACAGCCCATGGACAATAAGGAAGTAACAATTTGTTTTAATAAGTGATTTCATTGAAAAACTACATCCAGCCCCTTTTAACCTTGCAGTGTGTAATTCTATTGTTTTTGCTATTTAACAATCAATGGCCTTCATAGTGTTAACTTTGGACATTGTATGACTTTGAGGTGACCTTATTACAACTCAGTTGCCTGTATGTGGATGTGTATTCTATTGTATAATTAGCCATTACCTGTTTGTTTTCAGATTTTGGTTCTTTAAGTTTGCTGCTTTGGTGGCAGTTACAGTCGGTGCCTTTTACATTCCAGATTGGCCTTTTACCTACAGTAAGAATTTTAAATTGTAAACATTTAGTAACTCAGATCATGACATCCAATATACACAGAGTTGTGATTATCATCATAGATGTGTAATTAAATGACCTGTGTATCTCTGTTGTCCCAGCGTGGTTTGTTGTGGGCTCCGGTGGGGCCTTCTTTTTCATTCTGATCCAGCTGGTGCTGCTGGTGGACTTTGCCCACTCCTGGAACGAGTCCTGGTTGGATAAGATGGAGAGTGGCAACTCCAGGGGTTGGTATGCAGGTCAGTGGGTCAAGCTGTGGCACAATTGCATGCTGCATACAACTTTTAATTTTTTGTGTTTTGAGTATGTTTACAATTCTAAAAGTACAATATGCAGACTAAAATTGGTTGCTTTTTGAATGTGGTGTTGATGGACACTAGAGATCCACTATACAATATGCAACAGAAAAAGAGGAACTGCTCACACATGAAAAAATATTTAAAAGCTGTAGACACAGGGACTTGAAATATGTTGATGTCTTAGGCCTTGTGTCAGATTTTCAACTTTTCTATCTTGTTTTTTTAGCTCTGCTGGGGGTTACAGTCCTCAACTACATCCTGTCCTTAACTGCTGTCATACTGTTCTTCGTTTTCTACACAAAGCCTGATGGATGCTTCATCAATAAGTTCTTCATCAGCTTCAACATGCTGTTCTGCATGCTGGCCTCTGTTGTCTCTGTGCTGCATAAAGTACAGGTACAGGACAGAAAGTCGTACTTCAGTGTGAAAACATTTGGTTAGGGACAAGCTTTAATTTGATGGAACGATTCAATAATGTGATGTGCTTTAAAAAACAAAGGGTACTGGAAACAATATCATGAATACCTGTAAAGTCTGTATTATAGGGAATACATTACATACATAACATAAGTAATACAGTAAATTTAAACAATGACCAGAGAGCTAAAAGTGCACCTCTCTGATGCAGCATCAACCAAAATCATGACAAGGATTTACAAAGGTGGGATTTGTTGCATTATTGAGTGTTCATGCTATTGTGTCCACCATCTATAGATTCTCACTATAGCTATCCCTCAGGGCCCAATTAAATTATCTTTACATCTATTTTTATTAGTGCCATTACCATTATATGTTTGATTTACCTGTGTTTGACTTACAGGTGTCTCATATTGGTTTTGGTTTTGTTTTGCACTGTGAATGTCAAAGTTAGCCTGACCTCTGATAAAGTAGCATCCAGGGTCATCTCCCACACAGTGGGTACGTATCACACAGTGAATGTGCTGTGGGAGGGTTATTTACAAAAATAAATGAAATGGCCTTGGCCTTGGAAGTAGCCTGATGCAGATTTAGCAGGTTAGTCACAGTTAGATTACTACTGTAGTTAGTAAACTTGTTAACCAGTGTTAATGTTTGTAGCTTAGATTAGAGCAAACAAACAAATCCTAAGTTACTTTTTAAATGACACTTTCTCTTGTATTTGTGGTTTTCAAGAGGGTAAACAATAAATCACCACCCACACACTTCATGTAAACCCACAGAGTATCACTCTACTGCAGCCATGTGTACACTGCTTACAAACATGAAGAAATCCAAAGCTTGAAAGCTTCTTAAGACTTAAGAAGGCAGGCCTGCCTTCTTAAGTCTTAAGAAGGTTTTAAAGTATGGTCACATTACACTTCTGTCCTACAGATATTCACTCCATTTCCCTTTCACTTCTATTAAATCTAGACCTCTAATTCTGCTTCTCCTTTGTCCATCTTTGAATGAGGAGTTTGTGTTTGGAAGTGGAGAAGTTATTGTTCTAGCTTGTTTCGTCACCATTTTAAGTACATATCACACTATCAGACTGCAAACTGGAGTGTCTGCTAAGCATTTAAATGCAGTCGGACTAGGTCATATTTCATTGTCTCGTCTGTGATTGGTTCCTAAAACAACATGCCCCCACCAACATGCCTCCCTCTTCTGTTTTGACACAGGGCTGTTTTCGGCCTGAACAAGTGATCCCTATCTAACGACAGAGGGTTTCATTTTTGTACAGATTGTATAGCTCTTTGAGGCAAATTTGTAATTTGATAATTTGATGTACATAAATAAAATTGACATGAAATATCTCCTTATGGGCTTAAACAGAATGCATTCTGAAACTTAACTTATAAACTTACACTTACTTATTTTGAAATGGAGAGCCAGCTGGCTGCAAAGAAAAACTAAGAAAACTAACAACATATGGACATTGCTGTTATTACAGTCCATCAGTGTTGTGACATATTTGATTATCTAATCATCCCTTTTTCCAAAAACTAAGTAATGAATGTTTGATTATAACTTATTTCTCAAGTTTGAGAAAAGTATCTTAGCCCAGGGCCCACTTACTGGCTGTTACTATGCTTTCAGCCACATCTTAGTGTCTTCATCAGTAACTGGCGTTTGCTCAGTTATCATGGATATTTCCTATTATTTATAGATTTCTGACAATTATATCTGTGTGTGTCCCCAGGAGTCTCAGCCACGTTCAGGTCTTCTACAGTCCTCCATCATCACCCTGTACACCATGTATATCACCTGGTCTGCCATGACCAATGAGCCTGGTGAGAATGTTTGCTGTTTGCTTGAATCATTGCTGTAATAACAATGCTGCAGTTATGAATTGCAGAAATAACAGCCACCCATTAGCCCCAAACTAGATACATCAGCATCCGCTTGTCATATGACTATGAGTTACTGATTTTGTTAGTTATGCTTTCGGTTGTTCATTTTCAAGCTACTTGCATGGATCTTATGATTAACACACATTCCTTCCCAAGAAAATGTATTAAAGGCGTGTGAAAGTCAGAACATGTCTCGCTCAGGAGGTAGAGCGGGTTGGCTGCTAATCGGAAGGTTGGCGGTTCAATCCCTGGCTGTGTGTCGAAGTGTCCTTGGGCAAGATACTGAACCCCAATTGCCCCTGTTCCGCCAGTGTATGAATGAGTGTGAATGTTAGTTTCCGTTTGAATGTGTATGACTGGTGAATGCAGATGTAGTGTAAAAGCGCTTTGAGTGGTCGAAAAGACTAGAAAGGCTATAGAAGTACGGAGCATTTGCAAATAAGGCAACTGTTGCGATTTCTTCTTACACACTGAGCTGTAGATCCAAAAATTGTGCTTGTTTTTTTTTCTCCCCTCAGATCAAGAATGTAACCCCAATCTACTGAGTATCTTACAGCATATCACCGCCCCCACGCTGGCCCCTCTGGAGATGGAGAACCAGACAGCTGTGGTGATCGTCGACACAGAGGAACCTGTGTTGACGTCCCCGTACCTACAGTGGTGGGACACCCAAAGCATCGTGGGACTCGCTATATTTATCCTGTGCATCCTCTACTCTAGGTAGCACTACTGCCACATGAAAATTATGTTGGTGAATGTCGGTTCTAGTGTTGTAGTACTCGAGACTGGTCAACCACTTTTTGATGGTCTTTGTCTCGTCTTGGACTCGATCGCATTTGTACTCGGTCTTGTCTTGGTCTTGGACATTGAGGACTCAGGATTTTATTTATTTTTATTTATTTATTTATTTGGGAATATCAATAAATTGCTTTTGCATTGTCTGATTTATTTGTTAACATGCTAACTTTCATTAGATGTAAAACCTATTGCTTCACATGCAACCAATAAGACTAATTAAAAATGTGTTGTTAACATTAACGCCTGTCACCCCTCTCTGTAATGGTAAACATGGAAAAGGAGTGTTGAATAAAGATTTAGTCATTTGTAGTATTTGTAAATGGACACACAGTATCCATTCATATCTGTCTTGCCCTCAGCATTCGTTCGTCCAGCACCAGCCAGGTAAACAAGCTGACCATGGCCTCCAAAGACTCGGCCATCCTGGCTGAGGGCGGCAGCAGCCCCGACCTCTCAGAGGAGTCAACGGGACCCAGGCGAGTGAAGGACAATGAGCAGGACATGGTCCAGTACAGCTACTCCTTCTTCCACTTCATGCTCTTCCTGGCCTCGCTCTACATTATGATGACCCTCACCAACTGGTACAGGTCCGTACCCCAACCTCACAACACAGACACTACTATACTTTTACTTATTTTTCCATCCAGCTGGATAAAATTGTTTGGCGGAGAATGATGAGCTGTTGCAAAATATAAAACACCAAATACAAAACTGTTGCTGACAGTAGCAACAGATACACCACTTAAGCAGACTTAAGATTTCAATCTGAAAACCCCCTTTTAATTTTAATTTTTCCAAACTGTCACACCATTAAATATATCAGCCCTTATCAACTCTAGCAGTTGCTGGTTGAAAAATGCCACACTTTCCCTTTAAGGGTATGTCTGGGTGATCATAGAGAAAATGAGGGCAAGTTATTATATAATTGTCTGTTTACACACAATTTACACACCAACTTCCTGGTTCAGCTTTGACCTACTTGCTCTGGCTGTGTGTGCTAGTTTTTCTGTGCAGGCATTACAGTATAACCAACATATAGGGTGCATTTCGTTAATGTGGCTATAAAGGGTGTTTCAACCTGTGTGACTATGTGAATAAACATATTCCCTGCCCTTTTGGACTGTTGGAAGTGTTTGTGCATTAAATGTGTTTTTTCCACCTTGAAACATGATAATTAGATACATGTAGATGACTGAAATACCTTTTGCTGTGTTCTGCTCCTGACAGCCCTGATGCAGACTACACTGTAACTAGCAAGTGGCCAGCAGTGTGGGTGAAGATTACCTCCAGCTGGGTGTGTTTAGCCATGTACATCTGGACCCTGGTGGCCCCCATGATCCTCACCAACCGAGACTTCAGCTGATCAGTAACTCCATCACTGACTCCACAAAAAAACAAACCTCTTCTTTTTTACATAATACCATATTGCCTACATCTTACTTTCCAAACTGACTCACACTTTATCCCTTTAGCTGGAGTTCAGTTTTATTATTTCTGGATTTATTGAAGTTAAAATTGGGTCTTATTCAGAGATGCCATAACAGCTGCTTCAGGTACAGGTATTTACTGTAGTGATTTCATACCAGTCAGTAGCAGCTGCTCATTAATTGGACATCCCAGGACAATCACACATTTTCTATTGAAGCACAAAAACACACCATGAAGGAAAACCACTCCATTTGTTGTTTGCATAAATTTATGTGAATTGTAAATCAAATTCAACATTTTGATAGTATGTGATCTTAAAGGTTCAGTGTGTAATATTTAGGAGGATCTACTGACAGAAACGCAATATAATATACATACTACATGTACTCTACGGAGTGCATTCATGTGGTGCATTCATGTGGTGTCTGAAAAAAGTTTTTCCTCCTCCTTAAATCTTTATTTCAAAGAGGAATAAAGTGTACATTTACATAAAGAAGTATACAGAACAGTATACAAATATATAAGAAGACACAAATAATAAACTACCAGAGGTAATCTATATTACATAAAGATATTATGTGTACACTTTTCACAGCGTATTTTTTTTTGTTGGATTTAGAAATATAATTGATATAATGTACAACTTCATGGAGAAAAAGTAAAAAGTTAGGTTTTTTACTGCTGAATTTACAATTGCCATTAGAAGTAATACATTTATTATAAACTATTTTGTCCGAGGAGCAAGTTAATGCACAGAGATTTGCAACCCTCACCACTAGTTGCCACTAAACATTCACACTGAACCTTGAAGAAACTAAATTTATGTATGCTTTAACAACAAATATTAGCCAGATTAAATCAAAATATTAAAAAATATATTTTTAACATTGCTGTTGAATGTTCTAGAAATTTCAGTATTACAGTATCAATAATAACCAACCCTGGTTTGTGAATGTAATACAGTAGTAAGCTCATATAGTTTGCTGCTTTGCCTTGCGATGCCTTATATGTGTGTCAAATGTTTCAAATAATTGAATGTCTTGAGCGTAATATGAAGCACATGAGTGTAGTGGGCTATTGCTGATTAACATGACACATTCCTGCAATATGACTCAAAAGTCAACTTTCTGCCAAATATTCTACCTATTCGATATTCATTGTAAAGGTGTCTTTGAGATGGGATCATTTCAGGTTGTAAAATAAATCCATACACTGCACTGAACACACAGATACAATCAAAATATATGTGATATGAGTAATGATTGCATTATTTTCTGCATCACTGTGTGACTCCACATAGTATGGAATAGCTTTAATATTTATTATGATTTTACTTGTAAAGAATCTTTTTTAAATCCAAAAATAAGTTGTGTTTTGTAAGAAATGTCTGTTTTAATTGAATGAAATATCAGGGATGCCCAGATCGATCAGACTTTATTTACTGATTTTGGTGAAACTGGATCGTATTTCATAGAGTTTCTGGATGGACAGATAGCTTTAAAGGAACCGCTAACTGCTGCTAACTGTAGCTGCCTTTAGCTAGTTAGCTTGGATGCCTAGCTGCAAGGCTAACTGTAGCAACTACTGCTAATGGCAGCAGCTGTTAGTTAGCGATTATTTTAGCAAGAAGTAAAGCCATCTGTATATCAAGAGACAAATTACTTTCCTTCACAACTGAAAAAGCACTTTCTGTGAGGCATATTGAACAACAAATTTTAAGAGTAGTCCTGAGCAGAGTAGTCTCGCATAGCCAGACCATCTCCACACTTTGTTTTAGTGCTGTGCCAGTGCTGGAGAAAACACTAAGAGCAGAGCGGTCAAATAACGGACATCCAACGCCAGTGCGGTAGGAAAGTGGAAAAAAATATATTCAAACATAGCATTCAGAGCAGCCTAAGCCTGAGCTTTTTGCTCACAATGTGTCAAGTGCATTCACTTTAGTGAAGTTCAACCCTGCAGTTTCCCCCACTTGATAGGGTATGCTTGCCTCTGAAGGTTTGGACTGGATTTTACTCAATGACCAGGAATCAATTCTTTCTTTTCCTTCTTTTATTTGAAAGTTGTCGTAGCCATAAGCAGGTAAAAAACCTTAAATACAAACACAAGTAAATCAATGAACACATAATAAACTCAGGTAACCATAATAAACATCACCATCCAACATCAAAATACTTATTTTAAATCACTGCTCACATAATTTAACTTTAAATCCTAACAACTTTAACCCTCTACAAACACAATCCTACACTTACAGTTTTTCCCTTTTAAACTTTACAATACATTACTTTTAACCATGCTTCAAATCTCCATGATGTTAAATGTACAACACTTTAGTTTACAATTCAAACACATGGTTTTATACAAACATTTTTTCCCTAAATATAATTACATGATTCACTTTAATATTAAAATCCACCACATTTCACAAACAAACAAACGCTCACCGACTCCTTCCTCGTTCAGACAAGCTTTAGTCCTGCAGTCTCATTTTTTCCCAGTTCCTCAACACATCTTCCCAGCCTGCTTTCTATCCTGTGAATGACTCCAAATCTCCTAATTACCAGATCCTTCCCACCTGGTGACTAACTAGCTGACTGCAGCTAGGCACCACAACCAGGGAAAAAAGGGCGTGGTCTGCAGCTCAGCTTGACACCTCCCACTCGATCTTCCCACGGAAACCGCTGGAGAGATCGCACACAGTGAACTAGTAGTTAGAGATTTTCTCCTGACTCCCATCCTGCTCCTCCACTGGTAGTAGGACCACCAACCGTCGAACGTCCCGGTGAAGAATTGTGGACTGAAGGTCCCCCCGAATACTGGAGACGCGATGCTTGGATGCAGGGAATTTGGATGCTGATGTTTCAGGCCTCACCTCCGGGATACAGGAGCTCACCACAACTCTAATATTCACATCCCGCACAATGTTTCTGGAGTCAGGGTTGACACTGATGACTCTTCCAAGCTTAAAGTGGCCCCTCAATGCATTCTGATCACAGATCCACACAATATCTCCTGTTGCGACATTCCTCTGTGCAGTGTGCCACTTGCTCCTCACAAAAAGATTGGGACCAGCAAGTTGGCTCCAGGATCTCCAGAATTTGTTGACCTGATGCTGCATTTCCTGGAGCCTCTTATAGGGATAACTTGTGAAGTCAAATGTTTTCCAATCACCATTTGCAGATGCTCGTCCCAGCAGGAGTGTATTGGGTGTGATGTACTGCACTGTATCTTCAAGGCTCTGCACCCTGGCATCAATGGGCCGCTCATTTGCCAGATTGGCGGCAAGCTGAAGCGTCGTCTGAAACTCGCTGAAACAGAGCCCTGACTCTTTTCCCAGACTTTGAAACGCCTTCTTCACCATCCGAACAGATGCTTCAGCAGAGCCATTCCGATGAGGTGAGTCAGCTGGCAGGATTGTCCAGTGCCAGTCAGTTCCATTTTGAGCTGAAGTATCCTCTACAGCAGACTTATCCAGGCTGTCCAGGAACTGATACAACTCCTTCAGAACAGACTTGGCACCAACAAAATTAGTCCCAGGATCAGACCATATTTTCTTAGGGTGCCCTCTAATTGTCGTGAACCTCTGATAAGCCATCAGGAAGCTTTCCGTTGACATTGTGTTGGCAAGCTCCGTGTGGATTGCTCTGCTGGCCATACAGCAGAATACGACTCCCCAGACTTTCATTTTGACTCTTTTCCTCACATCATCTTTGACCTGATAGGGTCCAAACAGGTCAACTGCTGTAAACTCAAATGGAGATGCTGGCCTGGTTCTCTCTTGAGGCAGATCTCCCATCACCTGCTGACATCTTTTCACTCTGGCTTTCTTGCAGACCATACATTTCTCAATAACTTTTCGAGCAATTCTTTGTCCCTTGATGACCCATGCTCTTTTCCTCACCTTCAACAGAGTTGCAGCCACACCCTCGTGACCCTTGCTGTGAGCTTCCTGAACCAGCAATGTTGAGACCCAGGCGCTGTAAGGTAAGAGAGGGACACCAACTCGGTCTTCATTAAAGGCTTGGATTCGTCCACCACAAACTAGTAACCCGGTTTCTTCCTCTTTGAAGACTACCAGCCGATCTATTGTGGTTGCTGGAAAGGTCACCCCCTCTTGTGTGGCAAGGAAAAGATCTCTTAAAGCATCTTGGCGCTCCGTTGTGGTGATGACCCTAGCTGAGGAAACCGCCTCCCACTTTGGATCTCCCAGGATCTTATTTTTAGCTGCAAAACATTTTGCCGCCCTCCAGACCCAGGCGATCGTCTTAACCAGGCGAGTCAGATTGCTAAACCGTCCTTCATCCACCAGATTTCGGACAGCAGCACCAGCAGGTGGTCTTCGATGCTCCAGATCTGGTGGCTCCCTCTTCACCTGAACTCTTGTGAGAGCCGCAGCAAATACTTTCTTCTGCATCCTTTCAACACTCTCTCTGGCAGCTGCTGATACATCCTTTGCAGACTTAATCGGCCAATTCTCAGCTGGTAGGCTCAGGAACTTTGGTCCTTTCTGCCATGGTGAATTTTCAGCCAACTCTTTTGGGCCAGCCCCACGAGTAATGATGTCAGCAATATTCAGAGATCCAGGAATCCACCACCAATCCTGAAGTTGTGTGCTGGTCTGGATTTCTCCAATCCTGTTGCCAAAAAATGTCTGGAAGCCATAGCTCTCACGTTGAATTGAACAAAGTACTGTTTGGCTATCAACAAGGTGGTACCACTGCTTGACTTGAATTCGACCATGTCGTTCAAAGTACCTCTTTAATCGGGCGGCGAATACTGCCCCACATAGCTCTGCCTTGACTGCTTCCCCCTTGTGGTCTAGGGGAGCTAGCTTAGCTTTAGACTCCACCAGCCTCACAATCGGACCTTGGTCACAGTCCCACCGCAGGTATAGGACGGCACCGTAAGCATGATCACTGCCATCAGAAAGAGTAATTGCATCAGGCTTAGCTGGCCGCTCACTGGTGTCAGGGCTCTAGGGAACTTGACTTTGCTCAGCTCAGCATATTCTTCAAAGAGGCTGATGGCATCTTCTCTGAGCTTCTCTGATAGAGCAAGGTCCCAAGTGTCTCTGACGGTGCTACATTTGGGTTTGGCCTCTTGAAATGCTCTCCGAACCAAAATGGCTCCTTTCTGCTTTACAGGTGTCGTCAGACCAACCGGGTCATACAGCCCAGAAACTTGGCTAAGCAACTCTCGTCGGGTCAGTGGGTCTGGCGTCTGAGCTCTCACCTCTTCCAGTTTAAGGTCTTGGCCAAGTCTCATCTTTCTCCTCCTCTTTGAGAAGTTTATCCCAACCATAACATGAAGCCTGTCATCCTCCAGGGTGTAGCCGAGGCCAAGAGCTTTGTTGTCGTCCTCCTTGAGCTGATTTGGGAGGATTACAGTCTTTGGAGTAGCCTCCTGCTCCTGTTTTCCAACAGACTCCCTCCTACTTTCACCAGAAAAGACCCATGGCTTTAACTTGAAACCTCCCGCCTCCAGAATTTGCTCCACATTTTCTGTGATGACTTTGAGCTGGTCCAAGTTGTTATGAGAGGTCAGGATATCGTCGACATAGCTGTCCTCCTCTAACACTCGACGCTCTTCCTCAAGATGGCTAAACTGG